CACACACACTCTCTCTCTCTCTCTCTCTCACACACACACACACACACACACACACACACACACACGAATTCCCTCAGAGTCTGATTAAATGTGGGGAATCTCTCTCTCTCTCTCTCTCTCTCTCTCTCTCTCTCTCTCTCCCCCCCACCCCCACCCCACGTTGTACTGGCAGTCCGTGCGGGTTATCGGGTCAGGCTGTCGGTTCTACGGGGACTCTCCCTCTCTCTCTCTCTCCCTCTCCCTCCTTCTCCCACTCCCTTTCACGGCTGCCCCAGCATCGTTATTTAGGGCTGTTGTTGCTGGTCCCATCATGAAGCAGAGATCTGCTGAAGGCATAACATGATTGTTCGTTGATTGGGTCTTCTGTGCTACCGACACGTCGGGCGGGAAGTTCGACAAAGAGAGCAAGGGATGATCGTGATGATGATGATGATGATGATGATGATGATGGGGACACGGGTGACGATGATGAGAGCAGCAGCAGAAGATTAGAAAACGTGGAATTGGCCTTTTTGCTGGACTTCTCTTCTGGAGATGAAAGAGGGATATGGATTGCGTCTAGAGAGAGAGAGAGAGAGAGAGAGGACGATGACGACGACGGTGGTGATGATGCCGATGCTGATATGATGATGGCGATGGCGACGAAGATGAGGAAGATAATGGGGATGAGAGCGGAGAGTGGTTGGTGATAGGAGGACGGGATGACTTCTGGTGATCGCGGAGAGGAGGGATGGGGAAATTCGATTTGACTGCAGCAAGATTGATCATGATGACGGCGACAGGTGATGAGAAGAGGAGGTGGCGGGGGAAGGAGGGGGAGGGGGAGGGGGACGGCGAGGGGGGGGTTGGAAATCGGCGCTTTGGGTTTCTCCGTGTGAATGAGCGGGGGGTGGGAAGACACGATGGCTGGTTTTACCCAATGGCGAAGACGATGGGGGCAAATTGGATATCACCGCGAGAGAGAGGATGCCTGGTACTATTGTTGTTGTTGATGCTAGTTTTGGTGCTGCTGATGATGATCATGGCGGTGGACGGGGATGGTATGGAAACAGGACGCGGAAAGAAAGGAGGGGAGTGAATCGAGGAGATGATGATGGTGGGGTTTGTTGATGGCAGCTGGAGGGTAAGCAGGGAAATGTGGGGGGGACTGAAAATGGCTCTTCTCTGTATGCGTGAGGGAGGTGGGAAATTAGATGATGATGACGATGATATGTCGAGCAAGATTGACGACGAGCAGCACCCGCAAGGGAGTTCAGCAGGAAGTCGTCCGCTTATCGATGATCCCGAAGGAGGAGGGGAGGGAAAAG